AAAAAAAAAAAAAAAAAAAAAAAAAAGAAGAAAAAGAATACTGCTCTGTATATCATATCATAGGGGTAGCTGGACTTAGCTAGCTAAATTTGATATGAAAAAAAATTACCCTTGTTCCTCAAGCAAATTAATGTCTAACATGCTGTCTAAGGATTTTCTAAAGAGAACAGGGAAGAATGTTCTGCTATATAGTAACTACAAGGATCTACAAATAGGCCAGTGGCCTTGGCTATTGCAAACTGACACTTGCATTCTGCAAGGCACTCTGAATTTACAACTTCTTCTGAGGGCCATGGTGGTGCCAGATGAGTCCAAAGAACATCTGTCACAGGGTTTACTGGGAGATACAGAGCGGAGGAACTCTAGGAGGGGTTGGTACCTTTGGGACCATAGATTTTGTGACCACTGATGCTCATGAGATCAATTTTCATGTCGTTGACATCAAGTGGGATTTTTCCAACAGCCTGGGCTGCATCCGTATGGAAATAAACCTTTCTGGAACTGCAGATCCGCCCTGAGGAAACAACAGAGGAAAAGAACCATAGCACAGTGTTGGGAAGTCACCTGGCAGTGGTCTCACAGGGTACCATGAGCTCTAAGGTCAAACTGCATCTGACATTAGCCTCTAGCCACATAGTAAATTACTTCTCTCTCTCAGCTCTAGCTTCCTTGACTAGAACAAGAAAGAGGAAGTTCAAAGCACCAAATCCAAACACGCTTGGATACTGAGATGCATAAGACTCTTCTTACCAGGCCTTTCAAGAATTAAGTTAACTTTTAGATCCCTTTTGATTTAAAAGAGGCAAAGATGAACAGATTCATTTGCTAATGTACCAGATTCATTTGCTAATGTAACTAAGAGGTTATAGGAGTCTGGCTCTAAGGGAGCATAACAAAGAGATGTTCTAAAAAGTGAAAAAAATCAAAGAGGGAGAGAAAAAAAAGAGAAGTTCCTTCTGTTTTGTTTACTATTTTGTGTACTGCACCTACTACAGTAAAATAAAAAGAACATAAAAGGTACTAGACTTGGATGCAAATACTGGCTCTGCCACTTGCAATATGTTCTTGAAGAAGGAACTGAAGCCTTCTTTCCCCAGAATTCTCTTACTGTAGTCTATCTATCAAGTGTTACAGTTCCTGGTCTACTCCTACTCAGATGAATCTCAGGGTTGGGCAAGCATCAGGGGCCACCCATGATACTCACCTATTTCCTCAATGGGCTGCTTCACTCCAATCTCATTGTTCACAGTCATGACTGAGACCAGGCTGGTATCGGGTTGGATGGCAGCCTCTAGTTCCTAAGAATATCAGGAGTAAGTAGACTGCATAGTACCACCAAGTTCTCCCTAGCTTACAATAGAATGTAGGCAAGCTTAGTCTTGAGAATGGGCCTTTCACAACACACCTATCAGAATGGTTTAAATAAAAATAGTGACAACACAAAATGCTGGTGGGGCTGCAAACAAACTGGATCATTCATACACTACTTGTGGGAACGGAAAATGGTACAGTCATGCTGGAGAACACTTTGGCAGTTTTTGTTCTTTATAAAATTCGTGAACAAAAAAAGTGTGTTGTAATAAATCAGTGACCAAAAGTAACCTCCCAGGGTGATCTGATCATAAATTCCTAACTGGTCAGGTCATGGTGGTTAGTCATGCCCAGGCCTATAACATTTTTAAGTAAAAGGTTTATCTTCCCCTTAAGCAAACCCTGTCCTGTTCTTGTGTATCCAGGTTATCACACCTTTGAAAAGCCAAAGTAATCCTTTTTCAGACCCCAGGAGGCCTTACCACCCCAAGGGAGCACATAATCTTTTTAACTATCCTGTAATCCAATCATAGAGATTTAGGTGTCTTGCTTTCTCCTACCTTCATGTAATCTTCCATGCTTTCCTCCTTAATTCCAAATGTATAAAAGAAACTGAAAAACTGTCCTTCTCCAGAGTATTTGAGATCTTGCTTCCCGATATGTGGTCAGTTTGGCTTCAAATAAACTCATAAAAATTCTCTACAGGTTTGGATGTTCTTACAGAGACAAACTCAACATGAAATCACCATATGATCCAGTAGTTATACTCCTGGGCATTTATCTCAGGGAAATGAAAACTCTCACTACTTTCATTCAACTTTGTACTAGAAGTTCTTGCCAGGACAATTAAGCAATAAAAAGAAATAAAAGGCTTCCAGGTTGGAAAGCAAGAAGTAAAATTATCTCTATTTGCACATGACAGGGTTCTGTATACAAATTGCATCTTAGGATTTGTTTAGGGATGCGAGTATCCAAAATCTGGTGGACAAAATGCTTGGAGTCACTACCCAAAATGGACATATAAGGATATGGGCCAAAAATGGAAATATTCTTCTAAAAACCTACACCTCCTCTTTAGAGGCATGAGAGACATCAGTGTAGGGGAGGAGGCCAGAGCTTTGCTATGGTGAGTATGAGCCCCTGGCATCCTGCACATATGCCCAGTGGCTCCCATAAAAACCAGGAAGCACCAACAACAGCCTCCAGATAAAAAGGAAGATGACACACACTCAGTGGGAACATACTTTTGATATCTCTCTTCCAGGCCTATTTCTCTAAGTCCCACCCCTTCAAGCTCCAGCTGAGGCTGAACAGATAGATTCACAGCCTGAAGATACGCTCCTCAAATTTTTTCCCCTCCTGCCAAGAGCCACTCCTACCTTCAGGTCGATGATCCCACTTTTCTTCACTGGGAGGTAGGTGACCTGAAAGCCCTCAGCTTCCAATGAACGGCAAGAGTCCAAGACACATTTGTGTTCTGTCTGGGTGGTGATCAAGTGCTTTTTCCGTGACCTATAGAACCTGGCCACCCCCTAGAAATTAGTAGTGGAGGAAGGAAGAAGAATATACTCAGATAGACAGCAATGACTTCACTCCCACTTGTAAAGGTAAAGTAGGCAAGGGTGCTATGCTCCAACATCAATCTTCCAACACCAACTGGGTGTCCTACAAATCAATTTAGTTCGGATGCTAACTACCCAGAGTTAGCGCAAATCCCACAGATTAAGGGATTCAGTCCCACGAGACTGCCCCCACTTCAAATGCCAGCTGCAAGGCCTGGGTGTCACAAGCCACCAACTCATACTTCTGCCCAGCTGGCTACAAATTCAGGGCTTCTCACAGGCCCCTGAAGTTCAGTAATTCACTAGGGCTCATACGGGCCAAATAAAGGGGCTTTTTCACTGTAAAAATCCTGTTTTCTTTTTCCTAATGTTTTGGCATTGTAGCCCTTTGGTTATCTAATCAGTTTGTTAATCATAAATAATAGACTGTTTTTAACCTAAATCATAGAAAGTTCCTACCCCTGCTCTAGACAATTACCGTAAGATTTGTGATTCATACTTGTTGATTGTAATCATTGAAACCTAATGTTCTTTCCTAACCCGCTGCGGGCCCAGCTCCTGGACAATTAAGGTCACCTGAATAACCGGTTAAATGACCACAGGCTCCATAGAGCCATCACGTAGCCACCTTATATCAATAGCTTTGAGCTCTGCTTTTTCAGCCAAACACTTTTAAAATCTATATTTTTCCTCACTGTATCCTTGGGGATACAAACAATACCCCAACAAGATTCCAGCGTGAGCTCCCAGGTGGAACACGGTCTTCCAGGCAAATTTCGAGACCCCCGCCTTTCATCTAAGATCAGGCAGTGCAAGAGTTTCATGAGTCCCCCAATAGGTAGGGACAGCTCTACGCCCCTGCTCAGCAGGAAGCAGATACAGAAGAAAAAAACCTCCTGTCCCTCAACTTCCCAGAGATCTTATGGGGATTACGTCTCTCAAGGGGAAAACAAGGCAGGCAGTTAAGAGATAGACATCAGGTCTCTACATTCCTACATGTCCAACAATACAACCGCCCAGAGGACTTCCCCCCTTTACCCAAAACTCCCCTTTTTCACTATAATTATCTGCTTCTATGAGGAAACAAATGGGCACAAAATACCCAACTAGCTTAAACCAGTCACTCACACCTGCGTAGTAAGGGCCACCACGACCTTCATTTCACCTGGGCCTCATTATACCGTCACTACAATATCATACATATGCCCAGAAGTTCATTAACATCATTGTAACAGACTGAATAATGGGAAGAAACATGCACAGTCTAAAAAGATGAGGTAACAGGGCTGGCCGAGTGGCGCGTTGGTTAAGAGCTGGCTTGGGACGCCAGTGCTGAGCAGCAGGGCCCCGGTTCGGATCCCACATGAGGGCCAGTGACGCTGCGCCCTCTACAGCTAAGATGGTGAACAGTATGACCTGGAGCTGGGCTGCAGCCCCTGCTGCAGTGGGCTGCCATAAGCTACCATGTGTGGCTGGAAGCCAGCATGAGCGGCCAGCAGCTGGTGTGTGAGCTGCCAAGAGCCGCTGTGAGCGGCTGTCCAGTGGCCAGCGACCGATCTGCCTCAGCCAGGAAGAGCGCAATGATAATACCAACATGGGCTAGTGAAGCAAAGTCCTCCACAACCAGATTGAAGAACAAAGGACAGCAACTTGTCTGTTCCCCTTCCCCAATTCCCCAGCGCTGTTCCCCTCCCCCAATTCCCCAATAAAATCTTTAAAATAAAATAAAATAAAAAGATGAGGTAATAGCCTCTTGTCAATCACAGGTACCAATCAAGTGGTCTTATACCTAGAAAGAACAGCCCATTCTAGAGAAAGAAGGGATAAAACTCCAAGTCCTAGACAGTCAGCGCCTTTTGAGCTTCCTTTGTTCGGCCTGCTCCTAACTCTTTGACGTGTACTTTCTTTTCTAATAATGGCCCTTGAGCCATTCTCTACTGCTCGGGCCCACTCCTATTTCTTTGGAGTGTACTGTCCTTTCTAATAAACTGCTTTTTCACTACTTTACTTCAGTGTCTCGTTCAATTTTTGCTTGAAACACCAAGAACCTGGACACCTTGCTGAGAAGAGCCTGCTCTCCAGTAACAGAACAACTTCCAGAACTCACTGAAAGCGATGTATACTTATGATTAGAGTTTTATTATAAAGAATACAACTCAGGAACAGCCAAATGGAAGAGATACACAGGGAGAGGGCTGGAGTAGAGAGGGGCACAAGAGCTTCCTTCCATGCCCTCTCCTCCTGGAATCTAGGCATACCACCTTCTCAGCACACCCATGAGTTCACCAACTTGGAATCTCCTCCGAGCCTTGCTGTGCAGAGTTTTTATGGAGTTTCATTACATAGGCATTGGCCTCATGACTGAACTCAATCTCCAGCCCCACTCTCTTCCCCAGAGAGGAGTAGAGATGAAACTTCCAATCCTCTAATCACATGGTTGATCTTTTTAGAGTAACTAGCCTGTCCCTTGAAACTAAGGGCCCAGCATGAATCACCTCATTACCATAAACTCAGGTAAGGTCCAAAGGGGCTTGTTTTGAATAACAAAAGACAATCTTAATATTCAGGGAACTCCAAGGGTCTCTGAAGCTGTTCTGTGCCCGTAACAAAGAACAAAGACCAAATATATTCATAGGTGGAAAAGGGAACATGCCTATCCTTGCATGCCAAGCAAAAGCCTCTCTCTTTTATTTCTATTTAAATAGCAAAACATGCAAATATGGTGACACTGACACCCAAAGCTGGCAGTGTAGAAGTGAACAGACACTTATTCCTTGCTAATGGCATGTTTATGCTATAACTCTTCAGAAAATTATTTAGAAAGACAATCTTAAAAGCTGTATTCACATTCTTTAACTGTGATTCTTCCTTTGGAGTTTACCTTAGGGAAATATTTCAAAAGCTAGATGAAGCTACTATAGAGACAAAATATGCTATAGTTACATTTATAATCCTTTAAAAAATGGAAAGATTAAACACATCCAACGAGAGAAATTAATAGTAAAATGAATATTGTGATAACACAACTCCATAAAACAGAATGTAGTTATATTAAAAATAATGGAGCTTGAGATGGAAGTACATAGGATATGCTATTAATGGTTACAGAAGAATAAATATGGCATGCTACGATTTGTGAAAATATGAAAATCAAATTCATACGTTTGCATAATTCTTTTTGTGGAACAATACTGAACAGAATCGGTGTGAATTAACTTTGCAGAGCAGGACTCAGGGTCAGAATAGTGGAGGAAGAAGAGGAAGACTTACGCTCTGTTTTAAACTTTTCTATATGGTTAAAAAAAATCTTGGGGCTGGTTGAGTGGCTCAGTCGGTTAAGAGCACAAGCTCTGAGCAACAGGGCTGCCAGTTCGATTCCCACTAAGATTGAACACGGCACCTTTAGCTGAACAGCTGCGAGCTGCCCACAGGCGGCTGGATGGCGACTGGACTTGGAGCTGAGCTAGCTGCACCCTCCACAACTAAGATTAAAGGACAACCTAGCTGTTCCCCTTCCCCAATTCCTCAATAAAATCTTAAAAAAAAAAAAAATCTTTACACAAATGCATTAATTACTTTTTAAAAATTAAAAGAAATAAAATGTGCAACCCCATCCCAGCAGAGCTTATAACAGAGTACTGCTTTAAAAGCAGAATATAAAACTAATTTGGCCAAAATTATAATTACATAAAAACTGAATGTTCTCAAGGACAAGGAACATAAAGGTAAAGCATTTAAAAGTTGCCTGCCTCTCCTATCTCATTTACCACAGTGTGAAATGCTCTAACAGCAGATAGATATCTACGCTACCCATCCAGGAGACTAAAGGGGGCTTCGTCACAACTATTCTTTTTTTTTAATTTAGGTGAGCCATCCTGCCACCTTTTGGCAACTCAGTGGCAGCTCAGCTCAGGCCAGGCATCAAACCGCTGTTGCTCAGAGCTCAAACTCTTGAGCGAGCTCTTAACCAACTGAGCCACTCGGCTGGCCCAATCACAACTATTCTTAGCAATCCTTGTCCTCTAGGTTTGGGATCTGTATAGACTTTCAAAACAAACATTTTCAAAGTTTTGAAATCATCCCCATCTTTGGAGGGTCCTCCACCCTGGCTCTGTGGTCTTTGTAGTCCAAAGGAGGGATGCTTTCCTGTTAACAGCATCAGGCAGACTGCTGATGGTTCTGGAGCCTGTCAGGCCTCCTACACTCAGGCAAAGGTCAGAAGAAAACAATACTGGCAACACAGTTGAGAGATAACACTGAGAAGGGGTGAAGCCAGAGCTGAATCTGCAGCAGCCCACAATTTATCAGAGCCTGGGCATTTACTCAAATGATCCTGGCAACCAGGCCCAATCAAAGGTGATTATGTCCTATGAAACACCAACACGAGAGTGGAATTTCTTAAGTACCAAAGATCTGTATGTCCCAAGGACGTTGTGATTGATCCAGAATGGGTGACTAACTGATGCCTGCAGAGGTAACCACAGCGACCAGTACTTGAAAATGGGACATCTAAAGAAACAGGAGGAACTTGTTGCAAACAGATCTGAAAGAAAAAAAAGGCAAGGCTGAGAGGAGGGCAGCCCTGAAATTATATACATAAGGGTGGAGCTAAGAAACATGCCCAATTACAAGTGCATTCTGGACTTCATCATGAGTAGATCAAAAGGATGGGAGAAAGGGTTGAGTCACCATTATCCAATCTCTTAAGTAGCTGCCGTCCAAAAAACCAAGTGCTTAATGGTCCAAGAGCCACCTTCTTTCCTATCCAACTACCTTACTGAACTCAGTTCATTAGGAACAAAAACTTTAGAGTAGATTGCAAAGGGAGAAGGAAGCAACAAATCAGAAAGAGTGTGTGTGTGTGTCTTCTCTTCACAATAGGGCTCCGAAATACATATGTGAGCCCAAATGATTGAAGGACATTATCTCCCAAGTCAGGAAAGCCCAGATACACCCTCTGGTTCCTTCTCTTACCTTAATTGCTATGTTGTTGGATTCAGTAGCACCACTAGTGAAAACAATCTCACGGGGATCAGCTCCAATGAGGGATGCTACTTGCTGCAAGCCAAGAAACAGAGATAAGTAACATCAGTTCCCCAGGCAAGTACTGGGCTTCAGGACACAGCTAGGACAGAGCTCACGAGAAAGAAGAGTTCCACTGCATTCTATCAACTGCCTAAAAAGCTTACATCCCAGATCCCAGGCTTTTTTCCAGCCCAATACAAAATAATAATAATAATAGTAATAATAATAATAATAATAATAATGTTGTTTTTAAAAAAGCACTACTGAGTTCTTCATACAGAGGGTGCCAAAAAAACGTATACATATTTTCAGAAAGGAAAACTGTATTAAAATTGTAATACTCAATATACACCGATAACAAAAGATGAATACAAGTCACATTTGACTTCTGCAATTACAAGAGGTGCTCAAAATGGTTACCATCAGCATCCAGACACTTCTGATGATGGCAAACTACTGTTTGAGCAACGTTGACCAAAGTGTCCACTTGTATACATTTTTTTGGTACCCCTGGTATATAGATGTTGGGTTAATAAACACATCGCTAACATTGTCTCGTTTAATCCACCCAATAATAATCCTTGGGAGTCAGAACTATTACATGTCATTTGCAATGTGAGGAAACTGAGGCTTAGAGAAATTAGATAACTTGCCAAAGGTCATTTAGCTAGGAAATATGGAGACTAATTAAATGACTTGAGAGGGACTCCCAAGTTCTGCTCTCTGAATCTCTTTCTGAAAGAGCCATAAACCATTTCTACCTCCACCCAGACCTAACAAGAAGGAAAAGCCTCCCACAGGCCCTGACACAGCACCTATAAACTCTGTACTAACCTGGCGAGCATGTTCCATGGCTGACTCACTCTCCCATCCATAAGCATGTGTCCGGGAGTGTGGGTTCCCATAGTAGTTGACTAGGTAAGGGAGCATGGCATCAAGCACCCGAGGGTCCTGAGCATAACAGAAATAGATCAGTCTCCTTAAGCTATAGTTAACTCAGGCCCAACTCCATCCCCTCAGAGCTGCCTCAACACACTCCCAACCTTTCAGACACTGCCTAGATTAGGCCTCAAACATTCTTCCAGCACCCCAGGTACTAATCAAATATAAGCCTAATATACTTCCACTCCCAATCCATCTTTTATTTTTATTTTTATTTTTTAAGATTTTATTGGGGAATCAGGGAAGGAGACCAGACAAGTTGCAGTCATTTTGTTCTTCAGTCTAGTCATGGAGGATGTCGCTTCACTGGTCCACGTTGGTACTATCCTTGCGCTCTTCCTGGGTGAGGCAGTTGCTTGCCAGTCATTGGATGGCTGCTCACGGTGTCTCGGGGCAGCCCAGCTCCAGGTTGAGCTGTTGTTCACCATCTTTGCTGTAGAGGGCGCAGCGTCACTGGCCCTCATGTGGGATCCGAACCAGGAACCTGATACTCAGAGCTGGCGTCCCAAGCCAACTTCTAACCAATGAGCCACTCGGTCAGACCCCAATCCATCTTCAATCAGACTATTCTACTATCTCTCCAGGTAATCTACAACATTGCCTTGTTCTGACAGCCATTTCTGTACATTGTCACTTTTACGATATAATTCCTATAAACAAATAGCCTCGGCAAAAGCTGCTCCTCCATCCTTACCAAAGGAGTTGTAGCTTGCACATCCATATACAGAGGTCGCAGCATTGACTCCACCTCCGGAGCAGTGGCTGTATCTGAGGAAACAGCAGACTGGGAAGCATGGTCTGCAACTGACAAAACAAAAAGTGCAAGGGAGTGGCCAAGTGAGAGCAGATGCAACTATGGACACAGGGTATCCAAGACAGCAGAAAGTAAAAACTGGATGCAGATGAGATAAGTTAAGGCATGCTGGAGTTGAATCTCAATGGAAAAGGAAAAATAACATCAGAGGATTTGAGCAAATTGTAAAAGGATGTAAGGGACAAAGACGGGGTTCTTGGAGGGGGATGTATGTTGGGACAATATTCAAATCGCGTCGTTGAGAGTGGGGAGGACTCTGAATGGGCAAAGCCATTTAGAAGAAATGGGGAGAAAGAGTAGGAAGATCTCCTTCAAAAGTTACTGGCTGGACGACTAGCATCTCTAAAAGTCTGCCAGGAGAGGTCTGAAGACCGAGCCTCCAAGGCTCTGAAGGCCTGCGGGGTAAGATCTAAGGTGGGCGCGGCGAAGTCAACGGTTCAGAAGGCCGACCTGAGAAAATTTGAGAGGTGCAGCCAAGGGAAAAAGGGTCAGAGGGTGTGGGCAGCGGGCGGAAGAGGGTGGCTCCGTTATATTCAGATACTCAGCGGAGGAGAAAGGTCCGCGCTTCCAGATAGGGGGGCAGTGAGTGGGAACCGGAGCGTACCGCGCAGGCGCAGACCCCGAGTGGGCGCCTCCGGTCTCAGCCCGGGAGCGGCGGGCATTGCCGCGGCCACCCGCCTCCAAGTAGTTCGCAGTAGCATGGTCCTGATGGCACAGCCCCTCGCCCCAAGCAGCTGCAATCCTCAGCTGCAGACTCCCGGAAGTATTGCTCAGCGCCCCGGAAGAGATTCCTAGGTCCACGAGCGCGCCCCGCCTCGCGTTCCGTGTGAGACGTAGAGCTGAGCGACCGAGGCCGCGAGCGAGGTGAGGTGGGGGCTCGCGGGTCGGAACTCTAAGAGGGTGATGGAGTCGGACTACGCGCTGATTTTCCTTCCCGTACTGCCCCAAACCCTTGGGCCCGCTCCCCACCCCGCTTCCTCTGTTCCACCCCCTTGCTCTCGGGCTGTCGGCTAGGCCTTCATTTCCCTAACCCTCGAACCCCGCAGATGCCGGTGGCCGTGGGTCCCTACGGACAGTCCCAGCCTAGCTGCTTCGACCGTGTGAAGATGGGCTTTGTGATGGGTTGCGCCGTGGGCATGGCGGCCGGGGCGCTCTTCGGCACCTTTTCCTGTCTCAGGTGAGGGGCGCGGGTGGTGACCTCGGCGAATTACCGGGCCTTCCCGCCCATTGCATTCGGCCTGCATCCTGAACAGACTACCTTGTTACATTCCCTCGCTGCCCTCTTAAGCAGCGAGACAGACTTCCTAACCACCTTCAGTCTGGAAGGACAGGTTGGAAGCCTTGGTGCTTGAGAATGTGAGCTGACTCAACCTCTCTGGCCTTACTCGTTCTGTAACCTTAGGCAAATTGAGCCTGGGTTTCCGCAGGTGTAGAATGAGGTCAGTAACATGGACCTCAGACTTGCAAGGATCAAATCAGAGCACGCTTAGCACAGAACTTGGCACATGTTAAGTGCTCAGTTAGTGGATACTACTACTGTCGCTATCTGTATTTACATTTACGCTCAGTGGGACTAACTTGTTGAGCAATTTCACTGCACTGGGAACAGGATGTAGAAATGAAGCAGATAAAACTCTACACCCTGTCATTTTCACATGTAGTAAACTGGAATATTCCCCTTTCCAGATTGTAAATTACCATTTACTGACCACTTACTGTGGTAATCACTGTTAAATGCTTTAGCACAACAATCCTGTGAATGTTACCCTTATTTTATACTTGACACAAACTGTAAAATGACTCGTGATTGCTTTGACACTAGGAAACCGTCTAAGACAGCTGTCTTCATTGGATCATATATACCCTGGCGGTAAAATCATAACAAAAAACTGGTTTAACTGTCCATGACCTTTACACTGCATTTGATTCCTCCAACAAACTGAAGGCAGTTGACTTGACATTCATCAGGAGGATCCCTCTGGTCCCTTTTCAACTAGTCATTACGCACCCCAAGTGGGAAGGGATGATGTCACGCCAGATTTCTGGAGTGCTTTATTCATTATTAGAAGTATACATTGAAAAGGGGCAGTTAATGCCCTTTTAATGCATCTCCCTTTACAGTATTCTTGTTCCCAATTGGCCCCATCTTGGTTTCCTCTTCTCCCAGGATCGGAATGCGGGGTCGGGAGCTGATGGGCGGCATCGGGAAAACCATGATGCAGAGTGGCGGCACCTTTGGCACATTCATGGCTATTGGGATGGGCATCCGATGCTAATCAGGGCAATGGTTGTCCACATCTACTCCCTCCCATCAATCTCAGCCCATGTACAGTAATAAAGACTTTGAGTAGTCTGAATGTGGAGGCATTATTTTCTCTTCTCTATTATCCAGCTTGGTTAAGAGATCTTCTGAAGTGGGCTGAGTACGTTTGTCAATTTCAGTAGGTCTGTAATCTGTTAAATCCAGTTAAAAAATTTTGCATGCCTATAACTTTTCATAGATTCTAGTAAACCCTTATTCCTTTAATGTTGATGCTATTATCACTGTTTTAAAGGTGAAAAACTGAAGCTCGATTGCCTCAAGATCACAATGCAAAAGTGGGTATTAACATGTCTTATTTCCAATGCTGTTGTTCGTCTGAAAACTGTCCAGCTATAGCTGCTGGCTTGAACAGATAAATTATTCACTGTGAAACAAAACCAAGCCATCAGACACTTGTAGCTTCTCAACTGAGTCAATCTTAGATGACATTCTAACCAGCCATTAATGACGATGTAAATTGTATCAACTGATTCACATCTCCCACAAAATTGGCTTGGTAAAATAGGTTTAGTACTGACTCAAGTGCCCCTCACCTGGTCAGGACCCACAGAGCCCTTGATTTTACTATAAACTGCATTGCCCCTTAAGTTACCAAAATAAAAAAAACGTGTTACAGAACTGATTACCTGAAGGATTTCACTCAGAATGCCAATTTGAACTATTTTCTATGCCTCACATTAGTTAACAAACTTACTTTGATCATTTACAACCCAAACTTTTTATTCAGTGGTGTGGTGAGCTAAATTTAAAACAAGATTAAATACCTATGGCCACCTTTGCTGACCCAGGTCCCTGGAAAAGAAAATAACCTGATAGGACTTGATTCAAGAATGAAAAATTTAGGGCTGGCCAAGCGGCTCAGTTGGTTAAGAGGGTGAACTCTGAGCAACAGGGTCGCCGGTTCGATTCCCACATGGGCCAGTGAGCTGCACAGGTGGCAGGATGGCTCAGCTGGTGAGAGCACCTACTCCTAACAAGGTTGCCTGTTGACTCCCAAATGGGATGGTGGGCTACACCCACCAGCAACTAAGATTGAACATGGCACCTTGGGCTGAGTGGTTGTGAGCTGCCGATGGGCGGCTGGATGGCGACTGGACTTGGGAGCTGAGCTAGCAGCACCCTCTACAACTAAGATTGAAGGACAATAACTCGGCTGTTCCCTTTCCCCAGGACTGTTCCCCTTCCCCAGTTCCCTAATAAAAAAAAAGTAAAAAAATTTGTGGCGATACTTGGGAAAGAAAACTTGTGCCTCAATTCTAACCAATATAATAAAACAGAAATAAGAGGTAAGCAAATATCTCAAGGTAATCATTCCGATACAAAGGTTCAACCTAGACAGAACTTGAAGCTGAGTTCAGAGTATAAATGGTGAAGGCTAAGTACCCAAGTCAAGTTAAAGCTAAAAACAAAATCCCATAATAAAGTTATAAATCCAATTAAATATTTGGGTAACCAGTCTGAACTTAGACCATTTTTTGTTTGGTATTTACTTTTTAAATAGTAAAGCATTTTGCCACTAAGATGTCCAGACAACACAGGAGAGAATACCCAGGTTTAATGCTGGGTAAATCTGTTTAGTTTTCTTACTGGTAAATCCCAGTTTTGATAACATCCTAAATATAGTGCTAAGATATATAGTGATATACAGCAATGTATAGGAACAACTTGAGGGCAAATTTATCCAGATTCTGTATGGAATGAAGAGGCGAACACCAAATAGCTACAAAAGGAACTACCTACCACCTTACTTTCAAGTTTCTATGACTTTAAAACATTTCAAAAATGAAGATTTCTTGTGGCCTTTTTAAGAGAATTTTATTTGAGTGGTTCTTACAAAGATTGTTGCAATATGAAAGTCATTTGTTTGATAGAAATATCAAGCTGTCTTGTCAAACACACTGAAGTAACCCAAAAATATATTTCAGAGCTCACAGAGCTTAAAAAGAGCAAAGATTATATGCAACCAGACAAAACCTATTTCTGCATTTCCTAGTTCTTGCTCAGACTGCTTTGCTCACCAGACTCACTAAACATCTTGAGGAAATGCAGGGATCATTTTGTTTGGAATCTTAGACACACTAGAACACATATTTACAAAGAAACTTTTACAGATACATTAATTCAAAAGATACCATCCAGAAATGTAATTTTGAAATATTTTCTTGCCAATTGATCAGAGTGCAAGATGAGATGTTAATCAAACAGCCCTTCAGCTGTCTTGAATTTCCATTCACTAATGTGTATTCCAGAAACCTCTGCTACACCATTAGCCAAATATCAACATTAGTGAAATGTGAAATGTAACTGCTGTGTAAAAAGTTAGGCTTCTGAAACATTAAAAACATTACATCCCTGTCTGCCTTTTTACATTAAGATGCACATTTGTTCCCCTAGAGCTATTCCTATAGATCCGTAATGTAATTGTCTACATGTATATTTAAAAGGCAGAACAAGAGAACAGCTTTGTATACAGTGGGATTTGCTAGTTAGGGAGAATGAGCACACTGCATTCCTGTTAACATTTTTATTTTTCCAAGGTAACAGGAATTGTATACAAATGACAGTAGACCCTTGCCTCTTTATTTTTATCTAAATAAAAGATAACTCAAGATGAATTCTCAAGAAAGAAAAAAAGCTATGTACATAAGGGGCTATATCTTCCTTCATCGTCTACTTGGAACCAGTAGTTGTGTTGCTGTCATAGAATCGGGAAAGAGGTTGTGATAAGTTGGAAGAGGTACATATGCTGCTGTTATCATTTTACCTGTTGAAAGAAACAGATATGTGTAGTTTAACATCTCCACTCAGATTAATTAGACCCTTAATAATAATCACTCAGAAAAAAAGATCAAACTCACCAGCAAACCACCTGCCATGCAATGCATTTACAGCAGCAATGGCTGCAGCAATTGATGGGCATTTCACATATACATTGCCCTAAAATACAACAAAATAAATGTAAGGACATTGTGATATATAACATGGATTCAAATAGGTTTATTAACATCGCCTGTAGAAAAACTCACTTCTCTCACTATTGAATTGTTTCACTAGCTAATATGCAGAGCTACAATTTTATTAAAAATGTTTTATTCTCCCAAAGACTTGCCCTGGTCTACTTTTTCTCTATAATTTGGAAACTGCCGAAGAACGAATCAAGATACCAGGATTTCATGGCAAGATAACACTAACCAGCAACACTGCTAATGGCCTGGTGTAATATTAGTTATTTTTCAAAGTATCTTTATTTTACAAGGCATATATTTAGCTGGTATGTTAAAACTTCTTTTGGAAAAAAAATATCTAAGGAAAGAAAGTAATTATAATGTGACCCAAGTATCTGTGAAGATTAAGACAAAAAGACAACATCCTATCTTTGTTTATTAAAAACATCAAAATACCTGAGCTGAATTTTTGTCAACATAAATATGAATAACTCCTCCATGTTTATTACATTCTTCAATCACATCATCCTTAATCTCTGTATCCCATCCAACTTCTTCTTCTCTGTAAGACAGTATAAAGCAGTAAGTAAGACAGTCTAATAAATATTATTAGACACTGCAGAAACTTACAAAATGTTATGTATATTCTCATTTGTATAAAATTTTCTAAAATACGCATTCTTTTCATTTAAAAACTCATCAGTAGGGCACTGGAGGAAATCAAATAAAATTAAGATATAAAAAATTTCTAACAAGCTTATAATTTTTTTTAGCACTAACATTCATCTTTCAAATGATACTTATACCAACAGTTTATCACCATTTTATAGACAAAGCTAACAATACAAGGCTTTCTATTGTAAACCATGAACTAATAAATGCAAACAGCATGTTATAAATTATTAAAGTTATTGTATGAAAAATGTTTCATCAACTATAATGGTTGATTTATCAAATTACCTGAACAAAAAACCCAATACTTATATTAGAATATATTATAAGCACGATTTATAAAACCCAATACTTATATTAGAATATATTATAAGCATGATTTATAAAACCAACAAGATGTGGACTGATTAATGAATGGCATTCTAAAATCACTGACTAGGCAGAAAAGAAATACTTCTAATTCACAGCAAATACTAATCAAAAGAAAACCTGAGAAGATATTTTTCTTCTATTAGAAGAAATAAGCTTAAAATTTCAAAGCCAAGAACTGGTAAAAGAGTAAAATGGTGATTGAAATAAATACTAATAGAAACGTCATACAAAACTACTTGGATATAAATGGAAAACAAAAATGTATAGCTTTTCATTCAACTCCCATCTTATAGACACAGCCAAAGGAAATAAATAGAAATGTCCATTAAAATTGTGCTAAGAGAATCAGGTATCCCATTTTAGCTGCCAGAAAACTGAGGCAACATATTTGAAATAATTGATCTTGAAAAAGTTGAGTTTGATTTTTAGAAGGGTAAACTTTCCATGCAACCCAAATTCAACTACACAAATATCAATACAAATCAATCCAGAAAGGCAAAGGATAAGAGGATCAAAATTGTTTGAACTATGAAATATATTGAAACACCTTTAGTGTTAGTTTAGTAAAGTTAAACATTAAAGCTTTCACAATATACCCTTCATTTTTTTTTTTTAGCTGAGCCATCATCCTGCCACCTGTTGGCAGCTCAGCTCGGGCCGGGCATTGAACCGACAATATACCCTTTTGAACTTCACCAAAGTCTATTACTTACGTTTGAGGGTTAAACATGTTAGAAAGTTGAAAACATTGTGTTGCAAGAGGTTGAACAGAGGCAGCTGCAGCTAAAGCTGACGCTAAAAAAGAGAGAGAGAAATTAGTTTCATGGAAAAGGCATTAGAATAAAACAGAAAAAACAGTAAACCCAAAGCCTGAAATTCACTAGGGTAGTCAAGTCAGCCACTTCACTAATTTATCTTATTTAACAATGTGATCAAAGTAGGCAATGGTAGCCCATTTTATTATATAATAGTTGCCAGAAAACCAAGGCAACGTATTTGAAATAGCTGATCTTGAGAAAAGTTGGGAGTTTTATTTTTAGAAGGGTAATTAAATTTTACATGCAACTAAAATGCAATTACACAAATATCAATACAAATCAATCCAGAAAGGCAAAGGATAAAATGTAAGGATAATTTTGTAGGGCTGCTGGAGTTTATACCATGAGAAGCAGGGGATGATGAAAATACATCTTTAAAATGCAAAATAATTCTATACCCTATTGTATTTCCTAGGTTTCTGCCCATGAATATAGTTATTCAAAAAAATATATAAACATTATAATAAGGTTAAGTTTTTAAAATAAGATGCATAAAACCATCCAAGGATTTGAGATTTAATATCCTAGGATTATAAATCCTATTACAAAATCAAATTAGTATTTTAGAAATTAGGTCTGTTTTAGCATAAGAAACACTAAAAAGAATAGACTATGTAATTATTCACTATTAAAAATAATAAACTGAACAGTGTTAATATTTAGGAGCAACATTTAAAACTCATGTTGATTTTAAGCTTGACGTGAGCATTTTCCAATACAGCTGCTCCGTTGTTTTTATGTAATTTACAAAACATTACCAGTAGCTATTACAACTCACTCACCGTAATCAAAACATTTGACCAAATTTCATTCCAATACATAACAACAAACAAAGCTAAGGATAAAAGTGCATTAGAAATTATGGTAATTAAACGGTCACCCAAGGAAGTATCAGAAATAATCTGCTGAATAAAAATTATGGCTATGCATGAAATACATAAAAAATGACTGTTTCTGACAGAATTACAAATACTTTTTGCTTATTTTTCACTTCAATAGTTTTCTTTCATAAAGCTTTACATTAAAATAAAAAGTTAAACTAAAAGATGTCAAATTTTATTGAGGAAAGTTAACGATGCAACTGTGCTTGTTACAATTAAAAAATGAAGTCCACTGTGTACCTTTATTTAAACATATGGAAGTATGCTTGAAAAAAAAACTAGGTCATTACAAAACAACTGACTTTATTTTTCCACTTTCTCAAATTAACTATGATAATATACTATGAATACAGAAAAATATTTAAAATATGTATTATAGAAATATTCCGGATCAACCTAGATAAATGCAGAACACAATGAATTCAGCATAGAAATATAGTTAAGAGGAAAATCCACTAGTTCTTTTTAAAATGTTAGGAAAAAAAGATTGACTACAATTGTCCCATTTGCTGGAAAAATCACACATTTAATCCTGACTCTCAAGTAACATGAAGACCTTTCTCATATAGAATCAATGACTAAGTATACCCTATAAAAGATGGATACTGATTTTGTTCAATAGCAAATTGCTCTATCAAATGGCAGGTATTTATATAGCAATTAAAAACAAGAAAAAAAATCACTATAAATTGTTTCAATCTCTCAAATCTGCATGCAATTTAGGCTAGGTAATTTTCTTATTTCTTGGTACTGCTGGAGTTAAGAGTCAGTTTTTCCTAATCTTATATTAAGTTCACAGACTCTTATGTTCTGAAAGATTTGTCTATTAAAATGACAAATTTCATTTCTGACTTCTATATAAAACTTACAATCAAAACACAAAAATAAGCATACAAGGCTGAAAATAATTCTAAGCTAAAGCAAAATAAAGCACACATTTTAATGTTTTATCTATCAACTCTAAGATTTTAGATTAGGCCTTCTAAAACATACATTACCAGATAGCTTACTGTACACATAACCACTATGTGATTCTGCCAAAATTGGGTCCAAAATACAAACTACAATAAATGTAATAAATATAAACAACTATGTCTTGCTACACTTATATCTATTTCAAAGACAAATAAAAAACTCAACTCACCTTCAGTCTGTTGGGAAAGTCTTGTTTGCAAATCTATAACAAAAGAGAATTCTACAGCTCAGTGCAGGAACAATGAAGAGCCTCAACTAACAGGGTAAATGTCAGGAAAGCTTTAATAAAAGAGGACTACAGTAGCAGGGTTTATCAAAATGAACTTATAGTAAAACCTGGCAGCCAAACCTCCTTCCCCATTCCTCATTGACAAGGCTTTGGGGCCTTCTTATTTCCTCCTATCCTAGGAAACTTACTTATGCCTCTCTCCTTCCTATTCCTAGTACTCTTTCACATCTCAAACGTATTCCACTATACTACTCTGCACATGGGAATAATGGGAAATGGGGAAAGGGAAGCACACCGGTCAGAAAATACATGAAAACCCTGATCTTGAGAATTCAATTCCAAGTACTTGGGATATTCAATCTATTTATTTTTCTATCAGTGGCAATAAGCATTTTAAACTTTCAAAAGTTTATTAAAAAAAACAGTAATCCCTGCAATAGTACACATCAAACAGCTGTAAACACTTTCACTAATCTACCAAGTTCAGTAGTAGGAATATCACTACTGGGTAAGTCACCATTCTAACTATATGTATACAGTATATCATTTTTTAAGTTCCTTTAAGATTCAAATCGTCAAGTCCAGCCCAGAAGGTGACAGTTTTTATTGGGGTCTGGTTTCATGGCCAATCTGGAAATTAAATGAGGCAGGAAAAATCTAATTAGGTTTACCATAATCTATGAAGAAAATTTAAGCATCTGGTCAGTATTAAAAATAAACAGAATGGGGTTTTGTACCAATGTATTTTTTTCATATAATCATCAACATTTCTACACTGCAAAGCAAGTTAAATGAAAGCTGCTAGTAAGTGAAAACGGCAGCAAGCCTGAACAGTAAAGAAAATGCCAGTGTTGAAAAGCTATCTGCAAGTTCAAAACTTACAGAAATATACAATATAGAAATTGTTTAGATTCAGTACCTAATTTTCATTAGCATGTGATTCAAATGCAACACTTTATTACCATCTGGGTTTCTTGCTGAGTACTGAAAATGATTATAAAACATGGGCAAAAATGAAAAGGGATCTACAGCCCAGCTTATATTGGGATATAAGTATACCTTGGTCCTAGGTGCTCAAAATTGGCATCTCAGGGAGTTGAAGAAATGTAACTGGTGTATACTGAAGGAACTTGAAGATATCACCATAGGAAGATTGTCAATAAATTTTAAATTATAACAAAATTTGTTTTTTCCTAAAATGGGAAAAATGTATAGATATCAGAAATCCATGCTGTTCTAAGTGTATATAAATCCCTACCAAAATCTCAAAAGTTGTAAAGTTAGAAAACAAAGCATGGGTTTCATAAAAGTAAAGATCCTATCTTAGGATCTTAATAAAAATGTAGATATAGTGATGACCTGTTCTTCATTTCAAAAAAATAGCTTTAAAAAACTCAGGGGACAAGAGCCTCAATCACATTAACACTTAGTAATTTGTGTAATTTCAACAAGGAATGTATGAAGTTTTAATAATGACTATCTGGAGAAAAATATCCAGTTACATAAATATTTACCTAAAAATTGAGTGACTATTAATTCAGCAATACAATTTATGGGACGTGTAAGAAAATCAAACTTTAAATCATGTCAATGAACACTAACAAAGGGAAATATAACAAATACACAGATAATTAAAAGTCTATTTTCAGCAACCCATGTGGACATTTAGAATTTTAGTTGATCACAATAACAAGCTACACAGTGAATGTGCCCAGGGAGTTGTAGTCATGTATCATGCATCACAGGAGAAATAATGGCTATAGGTAGTAACACTA